TATATCACTTTCAGAGTCAGTGTAAAACATGAGAACCTCCCCTGGTTAATGATCAGCCAGTACACACTAGCATAGCTGTGTTGCTTGTTAAAATATCAAAATAGTGTAATTTCATACCAGTTGGTTAATAATCTACTACTGTTGAATCAATTCCAATTCATAGCAACCCTGTAGGGCAGAGTAGAACTGCCCCATAGCGTTTCCAAGGCTGCATATCTTTACAGAAATAGACTATCACATCTCTCTTCTGTAGAGCAGTGGTGGGTTTGAACTGCTAACTTTTCAGTTAGCAGCCAAGCACTTAACCACTGTGACACCGGGACTCCTACAGTTGATTATAGTAACTGCAATAAATGGTAACATTAAATAATAAGAATTCCAGCACAGGAGTTTATCTCAGAAACCACATGTGTTCTGAACTTTCTTTGTCCAGGTACTATATTGCAAGGGCTGAGGTACTTGTTGGAGGTATTTTGGTGTTTATTTCAAGTATTGGAAGTTATCTTTAAGTACAGAACTCCTCGGGTAAGAGAGAGGAGTGTCAGCTAAGTTCAGAAAGATCTGCTTAGATACTTGTAAAAGAAATGCCTAGCACAGGTAGAGGTGGGGAAGATGGCCAGGAGCCATGGCAAAGAGAGCATATCCCTTCTTAGTGTGGTAACAGTTCTTTAGGAAAGTTTAGGGAGTTTTACATTTTTAAATAATGTATCTTAGAATGATCTCCTCTTTAACCTATACACAGTATGCAGGGATTAATAAAACTTCTCAGCTAAAAACAACACAACCACCTAAAACCTTCTACCACCAGGCAATTTTGCCTTTCTTTTTGAAAGATAGTTTGCTGGATATGAGTCTCCTGGTTGAGAGTTATTTTCTTTGAGCGTGACTATGGCATCCCACTCTCTGGCCTTATATTCTCAAATGAGAAATCAGCTGTTAATCTTATTGACGTTCCTGTTGAAGTGATAAGTTGTTTCTCTTTTACTGCTTTCAAGATTTTCTTTATCTTTGGCTTTTAACATTTTGAATGTGATGTGTCTGAGTGTGTGTATTCTTTGGATTTATCCTCTTTTGAGTTTGTTGAGCTTCTTGCATGGGCAGTTAATATTTTCCATCAGATTTGAGAAATTTTCATCCATTATTCCTTCAAATAATTTTTTCTGCCCCTTTCTCTTTCTCCTCTCCTTCTGAGACTCTGATTATATATATGCTGATGTGCTTAATAGTATCCCATATTTCTCTGAGGCTCTATTTTTTCTTTATTCTTTTTCCTCTCTTTTAAAATTTTATAATTTCTATAGCTCTGTCTCCAAGTTCTGAACCAGAATGGTTGTTACGTTTTGCTGTTGTATCTGGTATGGCTTGAAGACTGCTTTCACTTTGTAGAGAGTTTGTAAGTTTGGCCTTCATTCGGCCAGTGGCTAGTAACTCAAAAGTTTCTACTTCACTTGCTCCTCAGAGAACACAGCCTTGGGCATACATATAGATTTCTGGACCATTTTGGGATGACAGTGGTTTTTACCAGAGTATTTTACTGTCTCTTTATCTGATATTCTCATTTAGCTTCTGGCTAGTCTTTCTCTGTTGGTTTCATAACTAGATGTTAGCTTTCCCCAATTGCTAACTCTAGGCCTGAGGCCCTGGCCTCAATGTTATCCTTCCTTTTTCCTGAAGGATGGCTCATGTTTTTAGCTGAGTAGTTGTGTTAGATTGGGTTCTCTAGAGAAACACAAAAACCAGCAAGTATATATATATATTTAGAGAGAGAGAGAGAGAGAGAGAGAGAGAAATTTATCTTAGGAAAATAGCTCACAAGCGTATAAAAGCCGGAAAGTCCAAATCTCTGGGGGAAACGGGCTGGTGGCAGCCTTAGCTTCCGTAAGCGCAGGGGACCAAGAAATTCAAGGCTGGCAGGCAGTACACTGGTTGTTGACTCCAACAAAAGACGAATCCAAGATCTCCAGGCCGAGCGGTGGGCTGCTCCCTCACGGAAGTTTGTAGTCCACACACCAGGATTCCAATCCCTCAAAGAAATGTGTCTCTTCCCAGGATGTCCCTGCATATCTTGGAAGCAGGCCACACCCCTAGGGGAACTCCCCTTGGGCAGACTGGCCACTCAGAACACAGTCATCTGATCCCATCATGGGAACAACCACACAGAACTGGGGTCCAGCCAAGTTGACACACAGCTTCAACTATCACAGTAGTTTTATTAGTTTCCTGCCTGTAGAACTTTTGCAGCCCTTCGTTTCCTTTGTCTCTGTCCTTTTCAGTCTAAGCTGGTAGTGCTTTTGCTGCTACTACATTCACAAAAACTTGTGGTTCTCCCATGTATGTCTTGAGAATTCTTGCTGCTAGACAATAGGGTCCTTCACAAATCTTTCCAGAATAATTCCAACTCTTTTCCTGGCTTCTACTGAGATGGTTGTGTGGATTCATGAGTCATGTGCCTAAGTCTTCCTTTTTCATATCAATGTTAATTAATGCTTAAATATTATATAAACAATATTTACATGGTGCAGAAAATTACAGAAAGGCATTAAGTGCAAAGTAAAAGTTTCTCTAACACTTATTGTGATAGACTGAAAAATACCTACCCACCCCCCACCCCCAAAATTGTATAGTCACATCCTTGGCCTTCTCTCTAAATTACTGTTTCTTAATAGTGACTCTCCTAATGTTAAGATCTTTTCTAATCTGGATAGGCTGAAAATTTCCCAAATCATCAAGTGCTAGTGTCTTTCTGCCTAACAGTTCTTCTCTCTGTTTATTTATTTTCACATTATTACTTAAGCAAGAAGAAGAAAAAAGGTTGTACCTTTTTCAATACTTTGCTGGGAAATATCCTCAACTGAATATCAAAGTTCATTGCTCATAAGTTCTGCTTTCCACACAAATATCCTACCCAATTAAGCAGGATTTCTGTCACTATGTAACAGGGATCTCCTTTCCTACAGTTTCTAATATATATTCCTCATTTCCTTCTGAGCCTTCACTAGCAGTGTCTTTAACATTCATATTCTTACCAACATCTTGTTTATGATGTAATATATATTCTCTGAGATGACACAGCCTTTTTCTACTGTGTTCCTCATGTCTTCCTAAGCCTTCACTAACGGAGTTTTTTAACATCTATATCGCTACCAATAGTCTATTCAAGGTAATCTATGTATTTCCTAAAATTCTTCTAGCTTCTACTCATTATCCAACTCTAAAGCCACTTCCACATTTTATTATGACAGCACTCAACTTTTCAGTACTAAAATCCATGCTATTTTCCTGTAGCTGCTGTGACAGATTACAAGAAACTGGATAGATTAAAACAACAAAAATTAATTCTCTTATAATTCTGAAGGTTAGAAGTATGAAATCAGTATCATTGGGCCAAAATCAAGGTGTCAGCAGGGCTGCACTCCTTACAGAAGTCCTAGAGGAGAATCCATTTCTTTTCTCTTCTAGTTTCTCATGGCTCCCAGCATTCCTTGGCTCGTGGCCACATCACTCCAACCTCTGTCTTCATATCACCCTTTCCTCTGTGTGTGTATGTGAAATATTGCTCTGCCTATCTCTTACCAGGGACATGATGACAGTTAGGGCCCACCAGGATAATCTTCTCATCTCAAGATTCTTAATTTAATCATATCTACAAAGACTTTTTCTTTTCCATATAAGGTAACTGTTACAGGTCCCAGGGATTAGTATGGGAATCTTCTTTTTTTTGGGGGGAGGGGATGAGGTGGGTAGGTATTTTTCAGTCTACCACAATAAGTGTCAGAGAAACTTTTACTTTCCACTTAATACCTTCCTATAATTTTCTGCAACATGTAAATATTGTTTATATAATATTTAAGCATTAATTAACATTGATATGAAAAAGGAACAGACATACACACACACACACTCTGTCTTACACATATACACACACATACACACACAATCATACACAACCCAGAATACAGAAATGATTAAAAAGTTGTCTCAAAAGATATACCTGAGACTTATTATTGCAAAAGAGGAATGTGTACTTTCTTGGGAAAAAAAAAAAAAAGAACAAACTCACTGCCATAGAGTCAGATCTGACTCATTGCGACCCCTCCTTGTGTTTCCAAAGCAGTATCACTATGGAAGTAGATTGCCCTATCTTCTTTCCGAGGAGTGGCTGGTGAGTTTGAACAGCCAGCCTTCTGGTTAGCAGTCAAATGCCTTAGGCAGTATGCCACCAGAACTCCTTACTTTCTTGAAAGGTTTAAATAATATAAATTTATTATAATCATTTTTATTATTATAGGAAAGTTATGGGGAAAGGATAATTGTCATATTTGTAAATGACACAAACTTGGAAGGCTAGTTAATATCGAAGGTGAGAGAAAAGTATTCAAGCTATTTAGCAGGCTAGAATGCTTTCTTAGAAAAGTAAATTTTCACATATCTTTAATTTTTAGGTACATGCAATTTATAGAAATTCAGGTTCTGCTTTTCATTCTATACCTTGACATGGAGATTTGGGCTTCTTTGGTATAATATTCTTTAAATCCTACTCTCCCCATCCTCTTTGCCTTACATTTATTCTTTTATTAAACAACCTTTATTGAACATTTAGTCTGGGCCAGAAACTGAAACAGGCACTGGAATATAAAAATGATAGGATACATATCTATAGCAAAAGTTGTAAGCAACTTAAACATCCATTGATAGGGAACTGGTTAAAGCAATTATAGTGCATTTGTATATTAGACTATTATTCAGCTGCTAAAAAGAATGAGAAAGTGTAATATACACTGATAAGGAACAGTCTCCAAGATCTGTTTTAGTGGAAGAAAGAAGAAGGCAAGATACAAATGAATGTATATAGTATATAGCATACCACTTGTGTAATACATACATATTGAACTAGACTAACTTCATAAAAATTCAGAAAAACCATAACTGGGGCTGGCTCAGAAAAAATGAATTGACTATCTAGAGGACAAGGAAGTTTGTTTTTTTCGTTTTTTTTTTAAATTGTGATTTGGGTGAAAATTTACAGAGCAAATTCACTTTGCATACAGCAGTTCACATACACTTTGCCTCATGACAATGACTGTAATTTACCTTAATGCAACAGCTTCCCTCCCCTTCCTCCTGATAGCTACCTCTTCCCTGTATCCATCCTTCCATGCACTCCTGCCCCCTCAGCTGTCTTCCTGTGCATAAACAACCCTTCTTTCTCCCATGATTGTTCTCTTCAAGGACTGTATCTACCTCAGGTAAATGTTCAACTCATATGCCTGTCTTTTGTTTGGCTGTAAGCCATAGGTATGGGTTCAATTCCAGACATGAAGGGCAGCTAGGAGCCATAGTCTCAGTGGTTCCACCAGGCTCTATCAGATGTTTGGTTGTTTTTTTAAATATATTTTTTCTGAACCTTCTGTGTTTTGAATCATATTAATTTCCTATTCAAAAATAATAAATTATTTTGAAAAGAAAAGTTTAGTCTTCACCCTTAAGAGCATGGTAGGAGGAACATATATAAGAAATAGGTATAATGTAGCATATATTAGGCACTATGATGAAATAATGTACATGATAAGTAGAAGAAGTCATTTTTCTCTGGGGCAGTAAGGTGAGTGGGGTCAGGGGGCATTTCATAGAGGAGGCTACTTGAATAGTAACAGTTTAAGGATTGACCAGTTTTTCCGTGAGATTCTGAGGAGCTGCAGCAGCAGCAGCGATACTGATAGAGATGGAAAACTATCCTGGGAACTGTTACAGCTAGCTATATTTACTATTGTAGAACCCAATCTTAATTCCTGGTGTATCTGACTACTCCCTTTCACCAGTAGCTGAACCACAAATATTTCTGCCTCAACTTTTACCTTTCTTTTCTCCTTTCTTTACTTCCTTCCTTCCTCCCTCCCTCCCTCCCTCCCTCCCTCCCTTTCCATCCCTTTTCTTCCCTCCTTTTCCTTCTTTCTCTTTCAAGAAATCCACAAATTCATATCAACAAATTATGAATAAGTAGCTATTGATTCACAAAAAAAATAGTACAAAGATATTTTAAGTAAACCAAAACCCTGTGTTGTTGAAAGAGACATCTGATTCTACCTAGAACTGTATGCAAGGTCACACTTACTATACCTTTTGTCTGAGCTCCCTAACGTGAACACTCTTCCTCTAGGTGGCAGAATTACTTCTCCTGAATGGAGCAGATCCTTTATTTAGAAGTGACAGTGGAAAGTGTGCTTTGGATGAGGCCAAGGATTCACGTATGAAGCATCTCCTTGAGCATTATGTTCCTAAGCATCATAAACATCTTATACCAGGTAAGATTAAATTACCCTGTTTTGTCTGTTTATCATGTTAATAAAGGGTTACAGAAACTGAATTTAGAGTTATAGAAACTGAATTTATTTTCCTTATAAGTTTTGAGAAAATGTATTCAGTGGTATCCCCATTCTATGCCTTTAATAAAGTAGGCTGACTTCTTTGTAAATGCATATAATGGAAACAGTCTGAAAGAACAGAAAGGTAATATGAAATGTACTTTTCTCCAGGTTATACATTGCAAATACTTAAGAAACTTACTATAAAATTCTGGGGTTTTCCTCTTATAATCCTTAGAATGAATAATATATTATGATGTAAATTATATTTTGTTTTATCATTTACAAGGAATATGGCGATACCTTAGCCCTCCTATCCACATTACACCATCAAATTGAACTACAAAAGAACTTAGTATGCAGTGGTCAATAAAATGACTGTGAAAATTATTTCAATACATGGCATTATTCTTCATACTCTTCTAATGCATCTGTTTATATATATATAATTTATTTTTTTTGTAAGATCATAACACTCCTCCGCTCAAAATTCTGCGATGGCTCTCCATTTCATCTAAAAAAAAAAAGCCAGTATCCTTACAATGGCCTACAGATCTCTATATCAGCTGGCCACTCTACTGATTAATCTCTTCTTCTACCACTTTCTTCCCCCAATCCAACACACTGGCCTCCTTTCTGTTCCTCAGATATACTTTCCTCACGTCCTTCAAATCTTAGTTCAAATGTTCCTTCCAAACGTGACCTAGACGTCCCTGTTTACTACTGCAACTTATCCCTCCAACCTTCCCTGTATTAGTTGTGTATTGCTATGTAGCAATTACCACAAATATTAGCAACCTCAAACAGCAAACATTCACTTTTTCCCCCCAGTTTCTGAGTCAGGAATCTAGGAGCAGTTTAACTGAGTAGTTCTGGATCAGAGTCTCTCACAAGACTGCAGTAAAGCTGTTGGCAAGAGGTCTCAAAACTCGACTAGGGCAGGAAAACCCACTTTCTAACTCACTCACATGGTTGTTGATAGACCTTAGTTCCTTACTGGTTGTTGGGTGGACACTTCAGTTAGTTGATACATGGTAAGAGCTGACAGTGTGACAGCTGGCTCAGAGCAAGTGATCCAAATGAGAGAAAAAATGTACACAAGACAAAAGCAATAATCTTTGTATAACCTAATCTCAGAAGGAATATACCATCACTTCTCCCATATTCTATTCATTAGAAGTTAGTTATTAAGTCAGGAGCTCTGGTGGCATAGTGCCTCAGGCATTTGACTGCTAACCAGAAGGCTGGCGGTTCAAACCCACCAGCCACTCCTCAGAGGGAAGGTTGGGCTATCTACTTCTGTAGTGATACTGCCTTGGAAACCCAAGAAGGGGTCGCTATGAGTCGGATCCAACTCGACGGCAGTGGGTGGTGGTAGTTATTAAGTCTGGTTTCCACTCAAGGGGAGCAGAGTTAAGCTACCCCTCTCAGATTGAAGGGAGAAGTAGCAAAGAATTTATGGACGTATTTTTAAAACCATCACATTCATTCCAGTATCTTTTTTTTTTTATTATTATTAAATTTTGTTTATTTTGTTGTTGTTGAGAATATACACAGCAAAATACACCAGTTCCAAAGTTTCTACATGTACAATTTAGTGACACTGATTATATTCTTCAGCTCGTACAACCATTCTCACCCTGCTTTTCTCAGATGTTACTCCTTTAGGGAGCTCTGGTGGCATAGTGCCTAAAGCATTTGACAGCTAACCAGAAGACTAGTGGTTCAAACCCACCAGCCACTCCTCAGAGGAAGGACTGGGCAATCCACTTCCGTAGAGATAATGCCTCAGAAATCCAAGGAGGGGTCACTATGAGTTGGAACCGACTCAACAGCAGTGAGTTTTTTTGGTTTTCATTAACATCAACTCACTGCCTCCTAAGGTTCCTATTTTATCTTTCGAGTTCCTATTGTCAATTTGATCCCATATAGTTTTTAAAAGAGCATAATGCTCAAGACAGACCTTTTTCACTCATTAAGCTAAATTATTATTCAGTTTGAAGAGGACTTAAAGCGATATTTTTGGTTTAAGGTTTATCTCAGGTCACAAAACAAAATGTGTATGAACTGTTGAATATAAAACAGTTCTGCATTGTAAAATTTCACCTGAATCACAATAAAAACTTAAATATTATCTCAGGGCAGTAGTTTCACAGGTTCATTCAGCTTTCGTGATTCTAGAAGGCTACAATCTATGAGGATATGAAATTCTGTACTGCATTATAACCCTTCTGATAAAAGGTTTCTTATTTATTTATTGTGATTTGAATGAAAGTTTATAGAGCAAATTAATTTTCCATACAGCAGTTTATACACATTTTATTTCATGACATTAATTGCAATCCCCATAATGTAACAGCTCTCTTCCCTGTTCCTCCCTGTGGTTACCTTTTCCCTGTATCCTTCTTTCCTATGCATTCCTGCCCTCTGAGCTATCTCCCTGTGGAAATACTGCCCTTCTGATCTCCCATGATTGATTGTTATAAGGAGTGTAACTACCTCATATGCCTTATATGCCTGTCTATTGTTTGGCTGGAAGCCACAGGAATGAGTTCAATTTCAAGCTAAAAGGGTGACTAGGAACCATAGACTTAGGGGTTTCATCAGTCTCTATCAGACTAGTAAGCCTGGTCTTTTTATTATTTTGAGTTTTGTTCCACATTTTTCTCCCATTCTATCCAAGATCTCTTGCACTGATCCCTTTCCGAGTAATTAACAGTGGTAGCTGGGCAACATCTAGTTCTTCTGGTCTCAGGGTCATGCATACTGAGGTTCACATGGTCCACTAGTCCCTTGGACTAATTGTTTCCATGCATCTTTGGTTTTCTTCATACATCTTTGCTCTGGATGAGGAGACACCAGTTGTTGCATCTAGATGGCTGCTTGTAAGCTTTTTTTTTAAAAAAAATTTATTTTGATCTGGGTGAAGATTTACAGAGTAAATTCACTTTTCATACAGCAGTTCACATAATATACTTTGTCTCAAGTCATTGACCAAAATTTACAATGCAACAGCTCCCCTCTCCCCATAATTACCTCTTCCCAGTGTCCATCCCTCCATACTCTTCTGCGCCCTGAGCTGTCTCCCTGTTATAAGC